GCGACGGAAGAGATTGCCGGTCAGTCCCTTCGCAGGTCTTTACAAACGTTCTATTGCAGGCAATTTCACTACAGTTAGGTACAGGAATTTTTAAAGAGGTGTACCTACAATGTGGAGCAGCCACGACTTCACCGTGACTAGCTAGCAATGTGAAACAAGAGATGGGATGGTGCAAATTGTCTTGATTGCCGACCTTTCGCCTTACGCCGTCCCGTTTTTCAATTAAAACGGTAACGTTTTAGGGTGCATCCCGGCAATACCTTATTTTCAGATGGTTACTAATTCTCTTAAAACTCGTTCTGCACCGTTTTCTCGGCATCCTGCTCTCTCTAACTGATTTTTCTTATGGTCGAGTACCACCACATTATGGAGTCATAAAATTATTTGTATTATAATTTATACATAGTATATTGCCTATTCGATTTTATGTTTAAAATATTTGATTGTCAATGGTGAATTTATTTTTGTATATCCTATTCCTAGAAATTTGTTGGCGGTGACTATTGTTTCAAATGTTATGAAGCTTTAAAATTTTGCAATCTCAAATCTTTCTTGTTTCTATGGGGTGAGGGTGCTATCATTTCATAATTGCAAAATTCCTTCCAATCTGATAGGAATATTAGCAATTATGAAGTGATAATGTGAACGGAGCTTCATCTCTTGCTCCCCACTAATATTTATTTCTATTACTTAAATGAAATTACTATACTTATAATGTAATCATTCAAGGCAACTTTAATAATTGAAGGAAGACGTATAATACGATACATATTTTTGTAAATAACTCGAAACCAAACAGATTGGCCACTGTAAGTACAGGAAAAAATTGTTTAAAATAGCATCCCTGGTAAAATATTTCAAAGCAATTAAAATCGGTGAGGAAGATTCACATCTGAACATTTACCGTAACATCTAATATCTTAAAAACTGAAATTAATAATTCAATAAGCGGAATTGTACATACAAAAGAGAAGACGATAAGCATCACAAGCTTCGTTGTTATGTTTAAATATAATGAATACCATTTAAACATTTTTTTTTTCTAACCATCATCGTTTCTAGTATTGCACTGAAATCAGGAACGAAAAGGGTGCCAATAACCTCATCATCCCTTGCGGCTAGAAAATATTTAGCAATGATCTCTTGTTATTTATGTAACACTGTGTAATATCGTTTTTGTCGAATGATCGATGGCGTAATAACGCGACAAAAGCTGTTTGTTGCGGGTGCCGATGGCCAATCAGTTGTGCACTTTGTCAAGGTGTCATCAAGACACTTCTTGCGAGAAACCCCGCAGTTTCCCTAAACACGGCTGCTGCTCAGTACTTGGTCCACAGCAGCTGCGGTAACTACCGTAATTACTCAGTTAGTTTATGACTTTCCGGACGCGAGACAGTTATAGTGAACGGACAGCAATATCTAACAAAAAATTGGAAAATAAAAAACAAAAAGAAAGATTTTTACAGAAATATTATTTATTCAAATGTCTCCATGAATCTCATGTGGAATTAATTCTATTGTACGAATACAAAATTGAAATCGTGTCTTTATCGTTCTCTCAACGATTATTTATGGGACGTTAATGGATTTTCGAAAACAACGTGTAAGTAATTCTCCGAATAATATATGATAGCCTGAATTCCATCAAAGTTGCCATTGAATTGAGAAAAAAAATTCTGTTCATAATAAATCTTTTCATATATGCATTTCCATGATTATAAGATATATAGGTAAAAACAGAAGCTCTCTTCAAAGACTATACAATAAAATAGCATTCATTGCAAGATCGAATTGCAGTTGCTTATTGAAATATAGTTACATCAAAAATTACAAAAATAATTCCATATTTAATCTCAAAAGTCCTTCAAACACACCAGAGAACTGAGGAAGTTCGTTGCACAAATTGCACTTGGGATGCGCGCAGATCTTCTTCGTCAAATACAATTTAACCAGACCCAGTTTATTCTCCGAAAATCCAGCTTACTGTTCTCCAATAAATAAAGTAATCAAGTTGCCGATGTAAACAGTTTAGAGTAATTTCATTTGAATAATGGCAGGGTCGGATTCCGGGTTGTCCCCGTAATAACGGATTTTCGGGTGCAAGAAAGAAGGTGACGAGAAAGGTGGTAGTCGAATGTAGGAATCATGGAGTAAGAAAGACCGGGAAGATCAAGGGACAGAGAAGACCGTCCCGTAGGCGGAGCGTTTTTGAAACAGCAAACGAAAGGGACACCGCAAATGCTGGCAGCAATAGAGTCAATATTGTGACACACGTCTCTGTCAGTGGGCTTGAAACAGCTGCCATTATGGCGAGGGATTATCTTTGGCCCCTATAATCGACCTTGCTGTCAACGGTGTAGCGTCGGCGTGATTTTGCCGGCAACGGTTATTGATGTTGCCCAATCACGCCTCACAAATTGATTTGTCTTTACCCGGCTTCTGGTTAGAAATATTCTTTCCCTTTATAAGACCTTACGAAAATATATCAATCAGAGGTATCTATCATTTATGATGCACTGCGACCACACTGTGCATTTGTTATGCAATTTCATTTGTTAACTCGAATTTAAATATAGTGGCGAGTGTTCGAATCGCTTCTTTAACAAAGCAAAGATTGTATATAATATTTGTAGTAGTCCGTACTTTTCTCAAATTGCTCTGTAATCGTGGGTCTAAATTAAATGTTGCGTTATAAATTAATTAATGAAACAGAATGTTCATTCTTGTCTGCATTATTTTTTACTAATACAGTGTTGTTTCTATCATATAGTTCAATGCGTAATTATGTATTAAGTATACATGTGCATTATGTTAACGTAAAATTTTTGCTACATGAAATTTTCTGCATTAAGTGATTGTTACGTCGAAAAGTAAAGAAACATAGCTGAAAAGAAATATAAATTATGCAATGGGATATACTTTAAACTACAAATTTAGTTTCGAAAGCAATCGTGCTCCTAAAATAATCATTCGGATATCGCGACGCGTAAAGAGCCGCCATTCGAAGTTACCCGAACGAAATATAGAATGCTGATAATGAGTGGATATCTCGGTCATTGCATCGTATTAAAATAGTTCGTTAAGTGCAATCGCTACATGCAAATGTTTAATTATCGTTTACACTTCTGTAAACGTAATAAACGATAATGATCGATCTTAGTCATGCCCGAGGCAAGCTTCGAGTTTTTAGCCTTAAATCATTTCCGCGGCGTGATAATTTATGAACTGCTGCTTGAGTGCAGTTTATAATTGTTATACATTTGTTATTATGTACGATTTTGTCACGGCCACGTGGTCAAATATTGTTACATTCTAGGTTGCGGGTGCAATGTACCAAAGTGTATGTCACAACGAGCTCGAAAAATCCGTACTATTACCACATGAAAGATGTTACTATCTATTTGATAAAGAAAAAAACGTAGATTCTTTAATGAAAAGTATACGAATGAATATCCGAAGTTTCACATATTTTAAGCTATTTATGCAGCTATAGAAAAATAATTACGTTACAACATTGTTAGAAGTCTGTAATACAATTAAAACTAAAAATAAATTTAAAAAATTTCGGAATTATTGATCACGTTGCTCTGAAAAATATCACTGGATATTTGTTGCTTTAGACTGAGCTGATTCGTCGGGAATTACAAACTTTATCGCTTATCTCTTACCAACGGATCTGTAAGCGCACAAATTAATATCTCATGCTGAGACAATGCCCCATTTTGTTTCGAAACTCGACTGAGTTACTGAGACTAGCGAGTTTACTTTGCGGTTAATGCAGACAGATAGTTAGACTGTGGAATGTTATGCAATTTTAGCGTGAAAAATGCAATAAAATAATGTCTTAAAAAAAAATATACTAAACATTTGATATTTTCTTCTTTTAATAAAATTATAGAACAATGAAAGTAGAATTTAGATTGATTTTAGATTTCGAACGTTACGTTACGAACGTTCCGAATGTATATAAACAGTCGTAGTTAAAGTAATACTTAGTTATTCCCTAAATAATTCTGATAGCTTAAAAAATCACATCAAATAAACTCAGTGTACAAAATTTGTATAAAAATGACTAAAACCGGAAATAAATTAAGGTTCAAGTTCTTCCCAATAGAAGAAAGATTTCACGAAGAATGCAAAAGTACATGAAAATTTAAATAAAAGGCTTCACATAAGATAAGAATTGCATTACATTCAATATCACGACAATATGAAACAGCATTCCTCTAATATCACCTATTTTTTCAAATTAATCTTCCACGGAAGACTGAAACAACATTCAGAGTAAATATGTGTGAACTAACGGTGAGCCGAAGTGTTGAAATTATCTCTATACAATTACAGTGAAAAGCTACATTAAAAAAACTAACTAAGATATTCCACATCGAATTAACATCTTCATTAAATCCTTCCAAATACCGCCTTACAAAACATTCATAACATTTCGAGTAAACAATTGTTGCAAAAAAACAGAAATACATGTTCAAACAGAAACTTCAGTTTCATCGTGAAGCCAACATTTTTATCAAACCGAACAAAATTTCCTTCCGTCCGTAACAATATCAATCGCCTATCAAGCCAGGGATCGTGATTAAAACCCCGTCGAGCGTCACGTTTCTTGCGTGCATACTTACGGTTCCCCCGCCGCCGTGGCGGTACGCAACTGCGCGCTCGTGCGCGCGCGTAAACACGCGGCCTCGGCGAGTGGGATATATTTTAACAAGAGGCGAAACAAGTAAAACAACGCGTCAAGTGCGAAAAATGTTGTCCATTCCGCGTCTTTTACACGGGGAATTGTCGTCTACGGGGGCGTGAGAGACGCCTTCCGCGCATTTTTTTATCGGCTCGCGATATCTCTGGCTGTCGGGGCCGGGATCGAGCGCCATTACGGATGGTGGACGACGGAACGCTCTCCGATTGGCCGAGTGGCGACGGTGGTGGGGGCACGGCCGTGCGGTAGGCGGACGCAATGTCGGGGAGTGTCTCGGCCTTCATGAACACAGCCGAGCAAACCGTCGTCGGTGCAACATCGTGTGTACTCCCGAGGACGCGTGAACGACCGTATCGTTCATCCAAACCTTTCCGTTAACCTGGCTGGGAAAGACGAAAGGAAATCGCCAGTTTCCTCGAGTTGTCGTGGTTACGAAAAGTGATTTTTTTTGTGAACGGGAGAGAATCGTGCGTTCAGTGATATGTGATAGGAGACTACGCATAGGACAAGAACTAGAAACTCATAAGTATCTGGTTACGTTTAACTATGGCAGAAGACGATGTTCTGAAGTATTGAAAATCGCGCGAGTTCGCCGTTTCTCTTTGTGGCCGCACCTTGGGGACCAAGGTTCACCAGTGCGACTCGTGTTGAAGGACTTCTGTCGTAGATTCGTTGAGAAGGTAGTGACCGTGTACGGGGTCACCGTGCAAGGGTTCAGTTACCTCTATGACAGACATTAGCAGCGTCGGTATGGTTTCCTATTACAATCAACTGGCTATGTATCGGCAGCAGCCGCAGCCAACCATGCAACAGCCGTTGATGCAGCAGATCCAGCAGCATGGACCGGCGCAACAGGCTCAGCAACACGCGGCCAACACGTCTCCCGACGGCAGCCAACAATATTGGTACGGGTATCCCCATGGACACACGCACGCGGGCCATCATCATCAACCAGGTGGTGGCCAACAGTATCTGGATCACGAGGTACTGTCCGGCTGGCCGCACTCGCACGCACACCACTACTCGCACCTACAATACCAGCATCACCAGACATACCAGCAGCATCAACAGCAGCCACCCCAGATAACCGGGCTGACGGAATGGAGCGGAGACGAAGGTCAGACCGCTGTCGGCGCTGGCGAACCCAGCCCGCCGATCACAGTCAGCGGTAGCGAAATCAGCAACCCTGGCACGCCGTCTACTCCGCCGGCAAATAACAATAATAATTCTATCACTGCAAATAACAATAACAACACCACGCCTATTAGACCGACGCAGATCAGGAGTCCTTACGAGTGGATGAAGAAGACTTCGTATCAGAGTCAGCCAAATCCAGGTTAGTCAGGCTTCTCTTTTTTCTGTTTTCTGGTTTATGCTGGTCATTTACGGTTCGTAAGATTTCTCGATTAGAGAACTTTTTCTGGGTTGTTGTGGGAGATTCTTGTTGACATTGTTTGTGGGATTTATTCGGATATTAACTTTAGAACTACCGAGGAGTAAAACTGATTATTCTGTATTTCCTTATAGAATATATAATTCAATTTACTGAATAATTTCTCAAAAAATCGCCTGTGCCTTTTCCATAATTGCCAAAGAAGAGACACGAAATGGGTCATTTGGTAGTTTTATCGTTAATCCATATGCTGGCTTCGTGTAATGGTCTCGTCCATGGTTCTCGGAGGAAAGTAGCAGCAAATGAAATTTCGAATGAAATTAGCAGCAAATTAACGTGTATTCAATGTAGATACGCGGATTATAATGTGTCGTGAATTAAACTATACTGAGATTTTTTCTCAACCTGTGGTTTAGACGAGTTAGATTTGGAGTTTTGTAAAGATTTATTTGTTGAAAATAATTAAGGTTTAACATCAAACACTGCAGAGATTATCGCAGAAGATTTTTCTAAAATCTATTTAATTTTATATTAATTTTTTAACAGTGGAATATCTGTTAAATTTACGTTTATTTCTTTTGCGTACCTCTTTCGTTTCATTCTTGATGCGGCAGCCTAACTTTTTCTTTAACGACATGTTTCATAAATCAACATCACGATTTATAAATTGCTGTTCAATTCGCCAAAAAGATTGTTTCTTATAACAACTATTGATAGAGCCAAGTCTGTAACCTTCCCTACCTAGAACAATCAATGTCGCTATCAGTTCGTTTTTTAATGTCTGTCTTCAAAGTTCTCCAAAGTCGAAAATAACCGAACTCGCCATGTAATATAAAACCACGAGGTGAATAGACCTTCTGGGGTTAATCGATTTCGAATCGAGCGTACAATCATGATCAGGCTTTTCGCTGAACATTTCTTTGTTACTGGATAATGCGGAGTGATAACTATTAAATTTGAAAAGGAAACATGGAGGATGGGAGATAACGGGATTTTGCGCAGTTGATTTCTTCAAATCGAGTTGCCATGTCGGTCGCGGCGAATTGTTCTCCCAGAAATACAAGTCAAACCGAATTCAATGAAACCGAAGTATAGGCGGGGACAATTTTGGGAGCGATTAAACGGAAATTGGAGCAATAAATTTTCATTCAGTTTCTTTTTAACTGGCTCGTTTCGATTTCTTACCCCAATAAGTACACCCCGACATGGTCCCCACCGCCGTATAATTTTAATTGTTCGCATTAAATGAATCTACGACAAGCGTGATCGATGGGTTGAATTAAAAGGTTTCTCGATAATAACCGATAAGGTTCTCCCCGTCCATCATCAAGTGAAACTTTTGATCGTCATCCTTCCATTGTTCATCCTCGAACGGAAACGCTGTTTTCCTGTTATGGTCATAACAAAGAACGATCGAAATATTCTTGGTCAAGTTTAACAATCGAACTATTATAATAGCAATGCATTTTGAAGCTGCTATAATTACTGTCTTCAAGACGTTGGTGTCTTGTGTACCAACATAATGAATTTACGACGCGAATTTTGGTTGACCGTGTAATTCTATGATCCCCGTCATTAGTATTCTTAGACTGATATTTGCTTTATCTGTGAAATTGAAGAATTTTGTTTACTTATTATGGGTATATTAATTGTATTAAAAGCGTATTTAAAAGTAAGTAGTAATTGCTTAAAAACGCTTTAGTTATTGTGTTTACTTATTGTTATTGTATAAATCCGGAAGATTGCCGGTTTAAAGTATTATCAATATGTTGGAATCGGAAATAGTGAAATTTATTTTCAACATAGTAAAGTATATTTTTATTAATCATTGCATTGAAATCAAATTTCGTCTACCTTTTTCAAAATATAAAATAATAATGTGTCATGGGTCACGTAGAAATTGATATTGTCACTGTTATACGGTCAACAAAATTTTAGATTTTAAATTGAAATTATAGTATTTTGAGTAACCGTCTTTACAATTAGATATTCATTGACATTTCTTCATTCAAGTTGTCGTTCACCTAGTTGACTATTTCGAAGCTGTCTGTTTACGGTCGATCATTATCGTCGAACGTTGCTATTCAATATTCCTATCGTGTTGACAATTTGCAAATTCTAATAAACCGTTACAAGTATTCAATGTAGCGGAATTGATTTAATAAATATAATAATTTCAATAGAATCGAAGGACACTATTAATCTATAAATATGTTAAGCAAACAGGAAGTTGAAAAAATTATGAAATCTAATTAAATTATTAATGTCGATTATTTTCATCCATTGGTGTTGCACTATATAATATTATATTAATCGGCACTATAAAATTGCTACATTTGAAACATCTCTTTCGAGAACATGAGCACGCATGCGATCGGTTAATTTAATAATTTGTTACTAAGTACAGGTGACAGAATTAGCCCAAAATAATTCTACAACTTAAGTAAACAATAAATTGTAGAACAAAATTATAATATTTTACTGAAAGTATCATAATTCAAATTTAGTTTATAAATTTCTTTCCGACTGTCGATCGTCAAACAATCACTTCTTACTTAGTATTTTTACTATTACCCCCTTATCCTATGATTTATTTCGCAATTGTGCTTGATAAAGCTACTTTATCGTTAATAATTGATTACAAAAAACAATTTGATATTGTTTCTATATCTACGTTTGCTTCAGATATTAACGATCGATAATATAAAAGTAACATGTAGTTTACATGTAAAGAAACTAAATAACATTTAGATTTGTCTGATTCGATTTAAAATTTTCACCATGAATCTAAGACGATACCATAGGGCAAGGTGTTAATATTACATTTTTCATTTGAACGCTTACAAACATTGTTTCGCAGAGCGCGCGAAGCGTTACCGAAAGTTTCTCCGCGACGAATAATCTAATGGAATCCGCGAGCGTGGCTAAATGCGATTAAAAATATTGTAGATGGAACACATCTTGAAGAAACGAGCGTGGAGGACTTGGCGTACATCGTGCTCGGTTATAAACACGTCTCTGCGGTCTAGATACGGTGAACAATGTAAACACGCTAACAGACGAGCAAACATCTAATTGCTCTCAAATATTTGTAAGATAATCTCCGTCCTCTTGCTGTCGTCTCAATTTTCAGCCGGTCCAACCGAACCTAGATCGCTAGACTAATTTCGAAGGAAAACGGTTCACCGATAATGAACGACAATATTGAGACGTATAAGTGTTTCTTACCTAACAGGTGGCAAGAGAAATTCACTTTGTCGGGAAATTGTACCCGTAGAAACAGGCGACTTTCTAAAGTTTGTAGTGTGAATAATTTATGATAATCGAAAGATATTTCAATTAATGTTCGGGTGTATGTTCTTGTTCTGACTACGACGAGATGTAAATGTACGTATGCAAGTGTATCTATTTATTAATTTCAGAGAATTTGATTGTTTATGGAAAAAAGTTATACACTGGTGCGTAACGTTTCTTTTTACTTAACTTACTTTATTTATTTATTCATTTATTTATTCATTTACTTATTTATTTATTTATTCATATGAAAAATATACAGTCTCTCTCTTTCTCTGCAGTTCACCTTTTTTAAGATCGCGACTAGTAGTGGTTTACACGTATATATTTGTCTATTCATTACTTACGATTTGTACAATCTGTTGGAAAATTTTATCTAAGTGGAAAGGGGTTGATTCTATATGAAAAAGTAAGCCTATAATGTACAAAATAATTTTTTTATTTAAGACCTTGCTACCAGGAAAATTTAATTCAAAAATTCGAGGTTATAAATAAAAAATTATATTCCACATTGTACCTATTTTCGGATGTGAAATAAACCCTTGCCAGTGAGCATCTGTGCTCAGCAGTAAACTACATAAGTGAGCCCAACGAAAATTCATTCTTGAATTGTTCAAAAAAAGCAATTAAATATGAAAATTTTATTTTATATTTTCGCTTCAATTTCTCATGTACCTTTTTTCTTGAAGGTAAAAGGTACAGGACGATACCCTGTATAACTTCCATTTTGTTTTTCAAAATACCGTCAATACGAAAACTTTATTAATTGTAGTCTGGACTAGGTTTGGCTCTCTGTTACTACCTATAGTGCAACCTCTTTTAAATTAAGGAATTTTAAATACACACCCATCTCTCTATTTACGTGGAGTACCAGTTTCATGTGGATTCGTTTTACGCGAATGAAAATGGCGCGGAGTCTACCACGTCAAAGGAAACTTACGCAGTCTCCTAAAGTGCGCTTGTCGGAGAGATAGATTAATAATTTATTGGAGAAAAGAGAAAAATTTTAGGCACCTATGCTTGCTCCAAAGTATAATTATTGAAAATAGAAGAATAATATTTAATTTGAATTCCAAAAAATTGAGTAATATTTATCCTTGTTAGATACTCTTTAAAATCTTCACCATGTGTCTGACACGTTGTTGTAAGGCAAGGGATTTATTTAGTTTACTTGAAGCTACTTTCGACATAACGCAGAGGAAATTGATCAGATTCTTTGATTTAGCTTCTATCATAGAAATAAATGTTTACAGCAGCTTGTTCAAGTCAACGGTTTTCCAGTGAAAGATGAAATACGCCGCAGTGAACATTCTAATTCATACTTGTGGTAAAGATGAAGATGTTATAATAGATTACAAGTTGTAATGTATGCGAAAGTGTCTTTCAAAGTAAGGAAGAGACATGATTTACGGTCAAGTCCATTAGGTTTTACTATGTTAATTTAATGTTAAATTGTAATATTAAATTGTACAAATTGCCGATCCTTAGTTTTGAAGATTTCAGTAAACATGGTGGTATATGTCTTTCCTGATTTACGTGGATTTTGATGACTTCGGCAAACCCTCCTTCCTCTGTGTTAATTCTTCGTGTACAGTTCACCGTTTGAAGTCCATGTTAGTATTCGTACATTGCGAAAGATTTATAGCTTGGAAGACTGTGATGTAATTTTTGGATGGAATCCGACCACCCTATAAAAGAAAAGAAACCACGAAAGTTGAAGGTAATCACAAAGATTGCTATTATAGCATTTAGGATTATGATATCGTATACATATACAATTTGTAAATAGTTTTCTATACCTACATCTTAATGAAAAAGTAGCAAAATCCATTTTTATCAATTACGATTTGCAGAATGAATAATGCTTGTTTACTCAAGCGTTACAATTTTAATAAAATAAAATTATATTTTATATTTTAACATTTAGAGTAGATTAACTATCAAAATACAAATACGGAAAGATCGATACGATGTG